ATTTCAACAGAATTTTTCCATAGCAGTGTTTTTTAAATTTGTTTTCCTCTACCCATTGTCCTTCTTTTAGCTTAAATTGCCTTGTTTCTCAAGTGTTACTCGATTACTCTGAAAAGTTTATGAGTGTTATCCATGGTCCATTGAATGAAACAATAGGTTAAGAGACTTGACCATACTCGATTGTGATATGACACTGGCTTACTGGGAAACATGGGGAAAGTCATTTCCCAGCACTCTGCATCTATAATACATAGCTAATGATGCTTTAGTATCAGGATGAAGCATGGTTGTACACAAAATGGAAAATGACTTGCATGTACAAAGTGCACTGCCTGATTTAGCTGTGGTTTCTCCATCAGATGTAACCAGAATTGAATCTAAAATGTTGAGTATGCAGGAATGTGTTTAATATGATTACCTATCAGGGCTGTCCAACTGGTGGCCTGTGGACCTCCAAAGAGTTAAGCTGAGGTCCACAGATTCCCAGTCCAGACATCACTTTCCCCACCACTCCAGTTGCTGTTGCCAGAGTCTCTGGTCTCTCCCTTCCCACTTCAGCTTCCACATCTTGCCTCGTCCCCCCTCACCTCACTTGGGCAAGGTGGGAGAAGGCAGAGCAGCCAAGGGAGTTTCCTGCTGTGGGAGTTGAAGGACCCAGGGACTCTGCAGTGCAAATGATGGAGGGCATGCAATGTGATGGGGGCCACACAGTGCAGTTGCGGGGTGGCAGGAGCACTTGCACAGTGGAAAGGAGGCACCTACTGCAAAGTGTGTGGCAGGTGCCTGCCTGACAGAGAGTGTCCATGTGGCAACATGCCATGGCATGCAGCCCACCTGGCATACAGCCTGGGGGGCATGTTGCCCACACAATGAGAAGTTGGACAGCCCTGACCTATCTATTTGAGAGAACTGTGTTTACACTTATTGAATTGGCTGTTCAAGAACATCAGGGAAGAGGTGCTTGGGAGCTGGCCCTCCTTCACACAATGCCTGTCTTCCCAAAGGAATAGAGGAACCCACAATTTCTCCTTTGATATGCTCTTGTTTAAAATGTTTCTACCAGTCAGGAAGTGGCAGCAAGGAGTGACAGTGCTATGTGATGTGGGTAACCGATTTCCACATCCAAACGATGAGTCATCCATGGTAGGAACTGGTCTTCATAAAAAATATCCAATTACCGGTGGCTGCACATTTCTCACAAGATAACTACTGTCTCCAATCTTTCCTCAAAGGGAATTTAAAAGGCATCTTTCATAGATGAACCTACAGACTTTACTTTATAAATCTACTGGATACAAAAAATCATGAACTAAATATAGACATTGGATTTATGGCACATTATAACCTGCCTGCCTTCCAGTGACCCCAAGTAACATCTCTATAACTTCCCAGCTGCATTTTATTGCCTATCAACATTCCCCTCTGCTATTGTTTCCTCCTCCCCTTCCCACTCTCTCTCCAATCTTTCCTCAAAGGGAATTCACAAAGCATCTTTCACGGATGAACCCATGCAGACTGGCATGTGCTTGCGTGGACCATTTCTCAAACTTTTACAAATAAATTAGAACAACTAAAGCTGCAGGATGAATGGTAGGATGCCCATCAGAACCCTTTTGTCTGGGGCTGAGCAATTTTGCACCATTCTACTTTGGTTCTTCTTCATAATAGCAGGATTATAACTGGTTACATTTGAAAGTAAAACTTGCGTGCATCATGGGGCTGTGTCTGAGAATTTAGGAAAGTTTTGGGTGTTGAAATTACTGACTCAAGTCCCTAATGGATTTTGCTATTTCCTCATGGCTTAAAATGCCATCTGCCATGCAGCAGATTTTCCTCCCTGCAGGGCAAATTCTGTGGCATAAAATTAATTTCCTCCCAAATATGACTCCAAGACATGGGGAATTTTAAGGGTCTTGGGTTGCAAAGCAGAATGCAGCATTCCTAAAGCATTAAGATCTTACCCAGCATCTTCTGAGCAGCAAGTAGCTACCTTTACCCACTCTTCTTGTTTTCCCATGCCTGGAGAGTGCCAAAATCTGTTTTATCCCTGGAGTAACTCTTGCTTTATATCAAAGTGCTGCTAGGCTGGCTGGATTCCAGCAAGTCTGATGATGGATGCTGCAAGAAGCACATTGGCAAACAGGCAGAAAAGAAATTACAAAAGGGGGAATTGGCTGTGTGGGGATTGGAAGTGAGAGTTCAGATTTGGATTGATGAGAAGGGGAGCATCTCTCCCATACTCTGACTGTAAACGTGAACTGTTGATATTGTTTGACGATCTGGGTGAAGGGCTTGCCCTTAAAAGTTTTGTTAACAATTCTTAAGTCAGTCCAGATTTCTCTAATGGGACCCGATTCGTTACCCAGTAACACCATGGCAAAATGCCCATTGAGTTTGGAACGTGGAATTTGAGCAGGTGCTTAATCCACAGACGGGTCCATTAAGAGTACCAAGTATCCTGAATTCCTGTGCAACACACAGCCCAATCTGCTCTGAAACAGACTCCCTGTGAAAAGTCACACATTCATTGTGTGAACCCAGATCTCATCCCTTTCCTGGGCTTGGGTTCACTATAAAGGATTGTAAAATAACATTGCTCATCATAAACCTTCTAGAGCAAGACTACTTCTATAGTTTCTCCCTCAAGGCTGTTAATCCCACATAGTAGATCCTCTATAACTCCTGCCTCTCTAATGGTTGGAAGGGACTTAGCTATGACGCTTAGCTGCTTGTGTCTGAAAGCATGCTATATAAGCGGGGGGAGAGAGGTTGTTAACACAGAATAAACAGTATGTCAGCAGGGAAGATCAGTGAGGATACTCTTGCTCTTGAGTCTAAGGGAAACCCTTTACAAAACTCTCTCAGGAGTGAGCCCCTTGCCTTTTGAGTTTGTTTCATTCAGTACCTTTCAGAGCGTATTGCAGTTTTTAGTTAAATTTGGCTTGTCCCTGGCTTACCCAGCAAGATTTTACCCTACTTCATTCAAAACAGCATTACATTATTCGTACGATTATCACATTCTGTATCAGTGCCATTGCAACCAATTGGTAAATAAGTAAAAAACGCTAAAATAACCCAGTTGTGCAACTTTTTTTCTCCCAGGGCTGGTGACTTTGTCTTAAGTGAAATGTAGAATTTCAGCCCAGAGGCAAAGCTGCTGGTCACGAGAATTCATTTAGCAGCAATTTCATAACAGCAAATCAAGCATTTTTAGTTTTACAAGACAATGTTTTCCAGCGTGTTGAGTGAATTGGAGTGCCTCAGTTTCTTGGGCTACCTTAAAGGTACCTGATTTTCAGAAAGTGATGAACACCTGCCCTCTAAGCATTAGGTGCCTTTAAAATATCTCAGATTGAGGTACTTAAAAACTCTAGTCACTTTGGAAGACTCAGCCATCATTTATGTGCTCATCCTGTGGCTACCTGTGTTGTATATACCCTTCACATGTACAGAATGAGTGTTTTCTTCTTTACACATTTCAGTTTCACAAATGCAGCTCCTTGCTATAACAGAATTTGGATCTTATTGTACCAGTGTCCTAACTGGCTGTACCCAAAGGAGTAGTGCTGGTAGTAAATTTATTTGTACTAGGAGTGTCTCCACGTTCGTTAATGAGCAGTAGTTACAGCGCATTTAGTTTAGTACTTGCTTAATGAAGTACTAATTAAATGTGCAGTAACTATAGTTACTGTGCAGTAGCACCAGCACATAGGTTTTTTAGTGATGCTTACTGCACAGTAGCCTAATACTACTGTGCAGTAGTGTATTAGCACATTTTTTGTCTGGCATGTGTTATTAGGTTACTGCGCATTAAACATCTTCTGTCGACGTGCCAGTGGTAGTGTCTAGAAGCCCCAGTCAATGACCAAAGCAGCACACTGTCCTTGGCAATGTACAAACACAGGGCAAAAAGGTGGTCCCTGCCCAAAGAGCTTTCATACTAAGGATATGTTGAATATCTAATCACTCCTATGACTGCTGTGTAGTGTAGCCATATCAAGCTAGCCTCATCAGTGACCACACTGTAGATGAACATTAATATAAGACAAAGGAAGGACACAAGCAGAGATGGGGGCTCAAGGAAACTGGAATACTGCTCAGAATGAAAGCCAGTAGCAACACTGCTGCCTAACAAGCTAATGTGTTGTCACTTTGTGGTGCCCTAAAGAAGAATATAATCATTCAAGGGGAAGTAGTATCATAAAAAACCATATGAGTCAATGATTTGGACTTTTGCATTTTTCAGAACTGCTCATTACATCTTTGGGAAATTGACCACTTGGTGGCACAAATGTCATAGCTTCCTCTTTTAACATCACCCATCTATTTCCTATTTCTTTTGGGGAACATCTTTGTTCAGCTACCTGTACTGGATAGGCATTTTCATCATGTCTTTAAGTGTTTTGTTACCTAACTGAAGAGAAGACATAACATCGTCCATTTGGAAATTAACTGCCACATTATCAGACTTAAACTCTTTGGAACAGGCACCATGTCACTGCTCTGTGTATGCACAGTGCCCAGCACTGCAGGACTTGGAGCCATCAACAGTGTCCCTATACTCCACAGTAAGTTAAGAAGTTAATAACAACAGTGGTGTGATGTTTCATACAACATTTGGGTGCCACATCATATTGGGATAATGCCTAGAAACCCTAGCCCTCTAAGGTTACTACTTATCTCCATCTGACAAAGTTAATGGAAGTATTGGAACATTTCTTGGAAAAGAAGTAACTTTCGCTCCTCAATTCTCCCACCAGACATTTAGAATGGTTCTAGAAGAGCAAACACAATTTTAGATAAGAACACACTGTGGTATCCAGGAACCTCTACAATGAGTGCTTTTCTGTATCAAGGGTGTTGGTTGCAGCCATGTTTGTCTAAAGACATAGGCAGATAAAGTAATTTGAGTAAATGAAGT